TGAAAGGTATTAAAGCGCCAGATACATAAATACATATATATGTATATATATATATATATTACGAAAGCCAGCCGATAGGCTAGGCTTGAGCTTTTAGAGCGAACAAAGTGAGTTAAGGGGGTGTGGGGGTGGGGGGAGGGTGGTGAGAGCATTTTGAGAGGGTGAACCGGAGCTTGGTGGGGGAGAGCGCTCCAAAGCGAGGGTCAGAAAAGCAGTAGTGAAAATGGGGTCTGGTGATGCGAGTGATGCAATGGACGCCGAGTAGCGCATCATTAGCATCATGAAGGGGTTTGGAGGCTATACAGGCACCCATGTACAGAGCAGACCGCAGCCGCGCGTAGGAGACGCGTTCCCAGGACAACCCCCCTAGCCTCTACTATACTTGTACCGTTTCCTCGGTCGAGCGGATGCTTCTCGCAGCGTCCACGTGCACCGAACGTTTTTCCGGCTTGCCGGTGCAGATAGATAGATAGATAGATAGATAGATAGATTGAGAGAGAGAGAGATAGATAGATAGATAGATAGATAGATAGAGAGAGAGAGATAGATAGATAGATAGATAGATAGATAGATAGATAGAGAGAGAGAGAGAGAGACAGATAGATAGATAGATAGATAGATAGATAGAGATAGATAGATAGATAGAGAGATAGATAGATAGATAGATAGATAGTAGATAAATTCTATACTGACTCATGACGTCGCCTTTTTGCTGGCAGCCCCCACCGAATCCAGTCAGCCTGGGTCCACGGCCCAAAGATCTACACACGCAGGTGCCAAAGTCAAGGCCTCTGAGTGAGAAAGGCGCAGAGTTGACAAGAAAGAGAAGAATAAAGAATGTGTTTGGATCGTTTAATAAAGGCCCCTTTAAAGGAAAAAGATGGTGTTTTGGATCGAGCCGAACATGACTCACTCAAGTCCAGGCATGTGCATCGATAGGCGCCCAAATCCTCACTCCTTTGCTAGCCCAAGCTACTCCCGCTGGACCTCCCCTTCTGCGCCGCGGGATCAAGTGTCCGTGTCCCGGCTAAGACGTGCCCGTTCACTCTTCCAAATCGAAAAAATGCCGCTTTTCGACGTGCCGCGCTATGCATTGCAAACTTCAAACATTCCAAATTCAAATGTAACAAACACATTCAAATGTAACAAGCACAGAATTGCTTCTTTTCAATCGCACGGCGTACTCGCGCGCGCGCGCGCGCGGCGACACTGACTATGGAGAAGGTCTTCCTGCGCGCGCACGTGGTATCCCACCACTCGAACTCAGACGGTATTTCCCCTTCGCTAACGCTGATGTCGCTTTCCAACTTCCATAAGATGCATACCTTCCTGCATGTGACAAACACATGCCATTGCCTTGTGGTGATGACCTACACCAACATGCAACGTATTGCATTTCTCTTTCACTACTTACTTCTTTCATAATTACCAAAATTATCCCACAGCCGCCCGGCTTGCTTCTCTGCTCCCTCCATGACCATTACGTATGCCCCCCTGCATCCGCGGCACCGCTGACTCGCAAGCTGCCGGCCATGTGTCTTGTGCCGCGACGCCCGCCGACTCTGGCTGTTGTACCCCCTTCTGAGGTATACATAGTGGAGCTGTTTGAATATGTTGAGCAAGTTGAATGAGGTTGAACTTAGCGCTGACATCTGTGAGGAGCTCCTCAGGGCTCTTTGCAAACACTGTCCGATTGTAGCAGAGCAGCGGATGACTGAGAGAGCCCAAGCCAAAAGGCCCAATAGCTAAGGAGGCTAACGGCTAACGGCTCGCGGTCAGAGAAAAGTGAAACGAGCAACGTGGACTTCAAGATTTGCTGCAGACTGCAAGATCCACAGTGACTCGAGGCCAGGGACACAGCAAGATGCACAAGAGGCAGCGATTGGTGTATCCTTTGCAAGATCGCGTACTTGGTAGAAACCCTTGAACATCATTTGACAATTTTGACGTGTTTTTGAGTTTTCACTGCAAACATCCGTGAATGTCACCTGCAAGACCACGCTCAAATTGCCATCGGTCGGTCGTGTGCCAACTCTTCACCGGTCGTGGAGGTCATGGCCTTCCTCTTGGACGCACTACACGAGGTGAGACGAGACGTCACAGAACTTGACGGGTAGCTATCAAGACCGATCTGACCAAATAGATTCCGATCCAACGAATCCGATCCGAACAACACCCCTATCAAGAGGCTTCATTTGGATGGTAAAACCTCTTCTATCTCCCTCATTCCGAATCCACGCACGACACTTTAGGTGGGTGGACCGAAATGTGTGGACACACGGGTCACAACAGCACATGTTGCAGCAAATTAAAATGACAACAGCATATTCATGTGGGCGGGTATTCATCAAGAGTCTACACTATGACTATATTACAATTGCACCCTTTTATATAAACGCGGAACGTTTTCAACATGCGCCAAGTGCATGGATCGTATCAGAAGTCCGTATCTTGAGCGTCACACCAGGCCCAAGAACGGATGATACCGTACGACATCATGTACCGTGTGAGTGCGTCCGTTTTGACTGCTAGAATGCCGTCTTGCGTTATCCATCCATGATTTCATCGGCCCTTCGGCAACGAATTCGGAGAAGTGGAGCTGTTCAGGTCGCGGATTTCGATTAATCAAGAGTCTCCAGTCTCCCTTACCTTTTGAATCCTTTTGGTTGTCCTCCACCGGAGCATCCCAGGATCTCAACCGTATACGTGAGCCGAAGCACCGAGCGACAGTGGAGAGCTAAGCGCCGACGGCAGAAGCTCCCTCTTGTTGGAAGCGGCACCTCTTTGCCCCTCCAGGGGTCTCGCAGTGTTCTTTGTGACAAAGTGCAAAAAGCGGAAGAGCGTATTGCTGCGGAGGCCAGCTTCATGGGCTTGGTGGCGGGGGTTGGATGGGGTTTGTGAAATAGGGCTGCCGGGAACAGCTGCCGAGTTGAGGATTCAACACAGCTTCCGTGAGAGGCCTGGTATGACCATCTACAGCGACACCGATCCCTAGTGGTGGACCTCTGTCAGGGCCAGCTGCGGTCACAGGTTGGGTGCGGGGTGAACGATCGACTCCAAAGGCACTTCAATGACTCCGATGCTTTCTGGTGCAACAAATGACTCCAATGAAGTAACAGCTCTTGGGCAAAACTATGCAGCGATGGCAGCAGACTTTGTGCGATGCATGCCTTTCTTGTATTATAGGTGAAATGCTGCGAGTGTGGATGTGCTTCGGTAACCTTTGTCACAAGCTTAACTGCAGTTCTGCAGTCAAGCTACTTTGCCTGAAGCGAACAGAGTGATGGCCCGAAAGTGGAGTGTGCAAGGATCCATTTCTTTTCCTGACATTACCACTGCCCCCTCAGCTGAAGCGCTTCACTGACATGTTTCAGAATGATGTGCACCATTGCTTCTTTCGTCGCCAAACGGTAGGGCGGCGTAGCCCCTTTAATCAACCCCACATGGCAGGTGGGCGAACAGTGCACATTCAGGCAAGCCTCCTGAATGATGTTGGTGCTTTGCTTTGCAGGTATTTTTCAATTTTGAGCTTGCGGTGCCAGGAGGCCATCAAAGCTTTCTGTGTCGAGGAGAAATTGCAAGGGGAGGATTGTTGGGGTTGTCCCCGGCTGGGCACCCCAGAGAGCAGCCAGCATTGATGAGAAGCTGCCTTTCACGTGTTCGTGGCCTACAAAAAGATGCAAGCGTTGTTGTTCTTTCAAAGTACAGGTTCCGGGTATGTGCTTGACCAATTTCCACCGGTGTGATTTGCCCGCCATCATCGGTGGAATGGCGGTTGATGATGTTGAGATTCCTTGTAGATAGCATTATTTAAAAGACTCAACGAACCTTGAGGGCCGGTATGATCTAGTGGAATCTAGTGGCCGTGACGCATGCCTCATGCGTCGGACCTGGGTTCAATCTCTGGGTGCAACACGGACCGGCGGACAGGCTGGCCACTACCCCACCCCTGCAGTGAAGAGGATGAGCTAGGGTGTGGACCGTCAAAAACACTACAAAAACTCAAGGAACCTTTATGCTCACTGTAGCCGGTTCAAAGGTCAGACATGCGGAACACGAAGAACAATCAAGAAGGAAAAGGGCAAGCAAACAAATAACATAAAAGGAATCAACGAGGTAATCTGTTCCAATTGAGAAGCTTTGTCTAAATGGGTCAACCAAAGGGCTGAAGAGGATCGCAGATCGATACAGGTCTAACATGAGCAGGAGGCAAATTGGGTGTGCAGGTGGGTAACTAACTATACGGAGGACAAACTATGAAGAGAGGCAGTCGCTTGTGCTGGCTCGAAAGGCAACATTGACTTTGGCCATCCTTTGAATGACTATATAAATGTAATGTGTTCTTCCAGAATGATAGTGTGATCAGCCGGAGAGTGAGATGGAGTCCGCCTGAGATCAAACACACACTTCACGCTTTGTATGACTACAAGTCAGCGCGCAGATGAAACACATGCGGTTTTTCACTCCTCACTTCCTGACAGCAAATGAATCTAGGACCAAAGGAAGCAAATGTGAAAAGATTGCAATCAAAAGGAATCTTCAATACCGTTCAAAGCCGTGCGTGCCAACAGCTTCAAGTGATCACAAAGCCAACTCTGAGAGGAAAACAACGGACGTATCCACGCCTAGGTGCGACCGACGTGTGAGTGCTTCAAAGCGCCTCTCACTTTGGCTCGGAATCCAAGACAGGAGATCCATGGAGTCAAAGATGTCCAAAGATCAAACCTCGTTTAACATTCCTCCTTATCCCTCGCTTCACGCAGCAGCAGCCATTGGCTCCTTTTACAGTGAGACTTCTTTGTGTTTGATCTGAGAACTTTGATTCACAAAAAAAAATATAAGTCTAAGACCATTGTTGGCCAATCATCAGCAGGCGTAGCAACCACACGATTCAATGTACGAGAAGATAGGTCAACCCAAGTGATTCTAGCCTTCGGTTTTTGAAGACCTTGGAAGAAAGAAGCATGTCCAAGGGACAACACTCAGCAGACAGAGCAGTAAGCCAGAGCAGACTCGCCCGGTTTCCACTCACCACGGTTTTGCGTGTCATGTGGCTTGGAAGCGCAAACCTCAAATGGCTCACTTAGACTGGGAACTTTCGAACCTTTCGTTGGCTGGTGCATCAGATCCCATGTTCGTCATTGTGCAGGTGCTGTGGGCATCACTTTGAGATATGCACTGTACTTCGAGACTCGGCAGAAATCACCGGAAGATTGAGTCCTTTCGTTTACAGTACAGATTTGAGGAGACTGGCAGCTCAATTGCTTGCAATTCTGCAGATTTGCAGGCTAGAGTCCCGGAGATGCTCGAGGAGCATCTTGAGCTAAATAGCCCCATCACATCTCATGTGAGGCCATTGAGATACGCGTCTTGATGACTCAACCGGATGGGCTTTCCAGCAGTTCCGCTGTGAGGCTCAAAGAAGGCCTCTTCTTTCTGGAGAATGGGATCTCGCCCTATGCAGGCGATACTTGCGCAGACCTGAGCCCATCGACCTGAGCCTCATTTTGAAAGAAAGTTGTAGAACCAGACACTGATATCATATGATATCAAAAGGATATCATATATGAACACTTTCCAGGTTTCAAACCAACTAGTCGCACTAGCCCAATGATTGGATGCAGCTGTTGGCCCTGAGGTCATACACCACCACTGGTTCTTCTGCTCTTGCAGCTCTTTCACCACGCTCCTTGTCTTGAAAACATGAATTTCCCAGTGACGGGATGCCCCATGGGATGCCAAGGTTTCGCCCTTGGTGCATTTCACTGCCTTGGTGCTGGTGGACGTGGTCTGGTTCTCCAGAGCGGAAGACGAGGTTTTCGGGTCTAGATGAGTTCTTTAGAAGACGAGGTCCGTCCGTGTCCTGTCCGATGTTTGGTTTGCTTCTTTGCGGACCTGTCGGGTGAGGTCACAGCGCTTCTCTTGCGAAAGCTCGCAGTCTTCTATCGAATAGCACGCCAAGAAGCAGGAGTTCGATGGGCTGAGGCGTCACTTGGCCGAGTGGCAGCCGGGTCATGGCTGAGTCGGGCACAAAGTCCGAGTCAGCTACGTAATCCCCCACAGCTGTAGCAGTAGGTTGATATTGTTGGCGTCAAGTATCTTTTGGCCAAGACCATTCATAATTCCTCGTGTAGCTACGAGGAGCAAGGACGCTACTAGGGGCCCCGTTTGGCTGACTCCAAGGTCTGCTCCCATGGGAATGGCGGCCAAGGAGGCAGCAGGAATTGAGGAGCACCTGCGTTGGACGTGCTTTACACTTCGCATGTTGTGTGTTGTGAAAATCTATGAGTGGTGAAAGGATGTGATCAGCCCGGCATTTGTCGGTCATGAGCTTGGCCATGTTGTGACCCGATGTCTTTTTTCTTTGCAAGACAAGTGGGTGAACACGGTGAACATAGCAGGTGAGACTGACGTGTTTGGATCCTCAGGTTTGTTCTACCTGCTCAATCCTTTGACTATTGCCAGTTGCATGAAGCTGAGTGAGCCTACGAGGTTTTCATGACCGGCAGGTATTGCATGCAAACATTGGCTGTTGGCTGTCAGACTGGTGCTCGGCATGCAACAGCAGGGAACTGTAGAGAGCAATTGCGGATAAGCGCTCCAATCTGTTAGGTGTTGCTCTGTCATTGCAGAACTTGCAGCACTTAGTCTTTGCGTTTGCCATTGTTGCTGCTGCAGCTGCACACTGAGAACCTTTCTGCCGCGTGTAGTCAGAAATTGCCAAGCGAACTCTATTCTCTGTAAGGCGGGCAAAGGTGGCTTGTCTGCCATCGGAGTTGCACTTTCACTATATGCCTCACTCTTAGACCTATTGACTCCCGATTCCAGTGTGTGCATAGATGGCTTCGAGACGAATGCATTTGTTTCCTGACGCCCTTTCTTGGCTCACATGATCTTCCGATACATTTCAAGAGAGGGTTGAAACAACGTATCTATTTCGGGGTGACCATTTAGTCTTTTCGATTTCCTTTTGTGTGTGTGTGTGTGTCTCTCTCTTTCTCTCTCTCTCTCTCTCGCGCCCTCGCTTGCTCGCTCGCTCGCTTTTGTCAGGTTTGTCCATTTACAGCAGTCTTGCTGATTCTGCCTTGTGCAGCACTTGCACACCAGCAGTCACCTGCCTCAGATGCAGCTGTTTAGGTATTGACCCCTGGAGAGTATTTTGCCAGTGCAAGAGAAGCAGCAGCATAAGTATTTCAATATGATATATATTTACTTTGGCTTTACACTCATGCCAAAGGACAAGTGACAATCTGTTCCATGGGTTTTCCAGGTCACTTTCAGCCCGAAAAGCAAGAGACTGGGAGACTGGCGCGTCGCTTGGCTGCATTGCTTGGCGCGTCGAACGGCTTTGCTCAAGGCGCACACACACAACCTCGATTGCTCCATTGAGATTTGACTTTCTGCCGAAAAGGTACAGCCCGTCGTGGCAACAGCGAATCGTTCTCTCTGACATGCTTTTGCGGAACAAGGGCTGACGAAACTTCATCCAGCAGGATTTGCGTGAATTTGCAGTGTTCGCGACGCGCGTTCCTTTGTTGCCAGATGAATTGTGGGTTCATCGGATACTGCGAACTTTGACTGCACTTACAGGAATGAAAGACGCATGCATGCTTTCATCGACCAAGCAACAAGTGGTTTTACACTTCTACACTTGAGGTCTTTTTTGCCAGCTTGACGCTTGGGCTCTTTGCCTGCCTTCTAGGGGTCTTCCTGGCTGTGTTGCTGGAACTTCTCGCTTAAAAATAACAGTTTGGGTTGAGATTCCACCTGAGACCGACCACATCCGTTTGCCGTCTGACTTTTTGGACTCATCGCCTCATCGATTTCGCCGCACGCTTCGCCGCATCCAGCGTGACGCACGGACTCGCGAGCTGCAATCGGGAGGCCTCGGCAGCAGCCATGGGTGGAGAGCTTCAGTTCTTTGAGGCCAACAACCAGTGGGATCCAACCGACAGCTCGGGTGTACAACAACAAGAACAACAACAACGACTACTACTACTACTACTACTACCACCACCACCATCACCACCACCACCACCACCCCACCACCACCACCACCAACGGACTGACTGACTGACTGACTGCCTGGCTGGCTTGCTTGCTTGCTTCTTTACTTACTTACCTACCTACGTACTTACTTACTTGCTTACTTACTTACTTCCTTACTTCCTTACTTGCCTACTTCCTCACTTAGTTACTGACTTAGGTATTTACTTAGTTACTTAGTCGGTGTGTTGCTTATGTGCTTACACACTTACGTACTTGCTTACCGAAAGACCTGCTTAGTTATTTAGATATATTTAGTTACTTACTACCCAAGTACCTAAGCACCCGACTTCCTAACTCCCTGCTATCGGCGCACCGTTGTCGGCTTGGGGGCTGCCACTCTCTCCTGCATTTGCATGCGTTTTGCGTCCATAAGGGATTGGAGGTTCTGCTGACACGCTTTGGTCGCTTGGCATTCACTCACTTCCACTCATTCACTCACACCAACTTTCACTGTCACTGCTCATCATCCGCACTATCATTCCTCTTCTGTGGAGCTATCCAACTATCCGTTCCTTTAATTCAATCCATGCAGGTTGAACAAAAGAGATGCAGAATATGCACACATTCTGTTTCAATTCCACTGTGCAAATTGCTTCCACAGGTAGTTATGGTTAAACTGCACAATGGCCGGTAATGTTTGGCCGTGTTGCCATTCAGAACTGATGCAAAGCATCCGTGGACACGACACGACACGCAAGGCTTGCTTTGTGTCCGTGATTGCAGTGCGAGACCTGACGCCGAATACGGGCCTGTTTTGGTATATGTTTACAGAGGCAGGGCCATTTTTGGGTTCGGAAGGCTTTCATTCTTCCAGGAACATGGACCAAACCTATACTGTACTTATGGAAGCTGTGGGGAGGTCTTCCAGCGTTACTACCTCCTCTTCATTTTTGCTTTCCATGCACACATCCTTTTCTACTCAGCCAGATCCTCAGCCACGAAACAAACATGCGCACCATCAACTGTTAATGTCAAAGCTTTTCAAGATTCTCACTGTGTGGTTTTCTTTCAAGGCTCAAGCATGCTTGCATTTCCATGAATTTCAGACTCGTCACAGGTTCCATTGCATCTGCGGCTTGGTTGCTATGCTCCCACAGGGTCCGCAGCCTCAGGCAACCGCCAAGAGATCAGTTTCTTGAGTGCTCCAATGAGGGGGGAATGCTGTCCCCCAACGTGCCTCATGTCATGTAGACACAAACTGTTCAGCTTGCCAAGTACATTCATCCACTGTGGTGCAGCTCTGGGGATGGTCTGACTCTCAGCTTTTCCAAGATTGCCTAACACGCTGGCAGGTTGGCAGGGTTTAATAGGGTTTATATTCAAAGCCGAGTCGGAGTTCTTTCCTGACCTTCTGAGATTTGCCTCTTCAAGCCGTATCCCACCGCAAGTATCTGGGCTGCACGATGTGAATGAAGTGAGTCTGGCAATCTGATACCGTCTGATCGAAATTGAACACTTTGATTGCAAGGTGACTATGGTTTGATGCTATCTGCAATGCTGGTTCAAGCAGAGCTGATCAAAGAGAGTCAGCCACTCTCGCATGTTTGCTGCCAACAGCGTGCTTTTGCGGGCACCTCATGCTCACAATGTGTCCATTGGGGTTTGATTGGACAGAGGTTCATATGGTGAAACTCGGTGCGCCCTACGCTGCGACTCGAGACGCTTCCTCCGATGAGACATCCCGCAGGGTTCACTATATGAGGACTCTCAGGGGCTTTGAACTAAAGAAGCCACTCTTTTGATACTTCAAAAGCCACTCTGAATCCCTTACGACCCCAGTTCGTCCTCCACTGCCAGGCAGTACTTCGCATTCCTGCTCAGTGGAGTGATGTTTGGCCTTTCCATGGTTCCGACTATGGTTGCTGACACCAACTCAGGGAATTATGAAAATCAGTTGACTGAGAACGTGATGAAGCATGACACTTGCTGGCCATGCCTTAGGTTTGGCTGGGTCGAAACGCTGGTCCAGCTCTTAAGAACTTCTTGGTTTGCGATGCTCGCATGATGTCAGGGTCACGATGGAGTCGGACATGCTCTTTCGGCGCTGAGGAAATGCCAACTACATGTACAACATGACGCTGATCGTTAACGCTCATGCCTTGGAGTCTGATGAGTTTAGAAGCAAAGATGCTACTAGGAGCAAAGGGCATCGGTACTAGGAGCAAGGACGCTACTAGGAGGAAAGGGCATCGCTACTAGGAGCAAGGACGCTACTAAGGGCTCCTGGCCTTACTACTACTAGTAGGAGCAATGTTCGCTACAAGTAGAATGCACACATTTTTGAGGTTTCCGGTACGGCACGTGCTTATTGGTGAGGTCTTTGGGTCCCTCACTCTCTCTCAATGGGTGCGGAGCCCGGCGGGAAGTCCATGTTGCAAGCAAATACTGCTTTTCCTCACGAACAGACCTGAATATTTGTCTCTACTATTTACAGTATCATGTCAGTTCTTGGTGTCAAACATTTTGGCATCCTACTGAACTGATATGATAGGAAGTCCGGGGCGCTTTGCCAGGTGAAAGCTGGCCTGCGGCTTCGCAAGCGGCAACACTCTCTTGCCTACTTCCGGCAGCTGGTCCTTGACATCGTTGACGAGGCACCAGCTCCGCGGATGACTTTCCAAACCGTTTGGCTCGTAGCCGACCCGTCAGGTCGTAGCCGACCCGAAAGCCGCCAAGGCACGGGCTATTAGTGGTTTGTATAGGCAAGGAATCTGGTGTAAACTGCACCGTTTGAGTTTTCTAGTGAGTCAGTCCTTGGCAAATCTGATATCTTTCAGTCTTGTTGGGTTCGAGGTGAAGGCGTCTGCACATCTTGATACTGCTCTGCAGTAGCGCTAAAGATGGGACATGGTTGCAGACGCACAAAAGGCGGCATTTGCACATCATGTGTCAGCAAAAGCCCTGACTCAGTACTCCCCAAGCTGGACAGTTCATACATCATTCCGGAGATAGATTGCGCGCAGTGTACGGTTGACACATGTTGACACATGTTGACACATGTTGACACATTTCAATCAACGAGAAGCTTGACCTTCCGAGGAAACTCCCTCTTCTTTTGCTGGTACACCTCAAGCGCTTCGGCTTCGAGGCCATCTTCTCGGCTTTCTGCGCGCCCAGTAGCGAGCGCCCCCGCGCAGAAAGCCGCCCGAACAAGCGCCCGAGCAGCGGCTCCGAGGCTGGCTGGGGAGCTCCAACGTGGAAGATCGAGGGCGAGGTGAGAGCATTGACGACTTCGCTTGATTGGGAGGGTCGCGACCACGGGAGGTGGAGCAAGCCGCTCGGAGCGACCGCAGGAGTTCTGGTTCACACACTTATGGCAGCCATGTGTTCGGTTTCGAAAAGAGTGAAGTCCGAGACCCTTAAGACATTTGAAGACACCTTAAGATATCCAAGTAAAGACTCAAGCTAGCATGTTTGTACTTTGGGGGTTGAGAAGGTTTGAGAAGTAGAGGATCAATTGAAGAGAAAGACATCCTCCCACCATTGAAGACCTATGGACCATTATGGAGCTATGCGAGCGTTCAAAGGTGTGGACTCCTGGAAGGCTCGATCTTCAAGACTTTGTGTCTGAAATGCTCCTGAGCTGCACATCCCATGGTGCGGGAAAAAATCCGCAGGATGGATGGTTCTTATATGTTCATTTCTGATCATTTCTGTATTTTGATGTCAGAGCACCCGTCTGAAATCTATGATGTCAGCATCCTGACAAGATGCGGATTGTATCGCTTTTCCAAGGTCGCCACAACGCGTGTCTTTGCAATACGCCAGAAACTCGTGCATGTCAGTTGTCCTGTGAACAGATCTCTTTGCAACTTTGGTGCAGATGGGCTTCGTCACGTGCTCACACTCAAACCATATTCATTACGGCAACAATTCTGGTGGGCTGATGGGCCATTTGGACCATCACAATCCCTTCTTGCACATGAATGGTCCACATCGATGGGGAGAGATGACTTGGATTGAATTGGATTCACCATACCAGCAAGACCTCTCACTGCTCGCTTCTTGGAAGCTACACGAGCTGCAGGACCTCTTCGCAGCAGTTGATCATGCAGGCACCTGCTGTGCTGAGCAAATCAGAAGGTAACGGGGACATTGGGATATTCTATATAGTCGTGGTAGCTGTTGGAAGGCGAGTTTTGCCTCACAGCATATTGTGCATCAATACATATCAATACAGATTAGCAAGCTTCAAAGCTCAACTAGTCGTTCTTAGCAAGCCTATCATTGCTTGCACTTCCCCAGTTCAGTGCCCATGAATTTGAATGAAGGCGTATCTCCTTTCTCGGGGCACTACACAGCCTCATGTTTGCGTCCTGATGGGTACGGGCCCTAGTGCCCGCTCGCTTGGCGAAGAGCCTTAAATTCACATATCTTGCGCGACACAACAGGTGTTTGAGATGCTGTGCTCACACTATATCTCAATTGATGATTCTTGCATTTGAACAGCGAGAAAACATATCATGATAGGCTTCATGATGCTGTAACTTCTGTGTACATTCTTCGATCCAGAAGTCCTAGGTGGTGGCGCTTTGATGACTCTCGTGCAGAATATCTTGGTCGAGCTGGGGCCGAGGCCATCGAATCACAAACCGAGCAGGTGAATCTCAATTCCCTGATGAGTCCTCGGAAGTCCTGGGTGGAATTCTGAGGGGCATAGCCTTTGAGCACAGACTATGACTATATATGCCCCCTTTCCTTTGTCAAGGCCAACCAGTGTTAGCACCTGTAGCGACATGACCTTGATAGAAATCCAGAAGAACAGATTAGAATAGGACGCCTCGTCTCTGCAAATTGCTGCACCAAATAGAAATCTTCGAACTACAATGATAACACATGACAAACCAAGTACAAAGAAGCTTCTTGAGATCTAAAAGACAAGAATCCCAGTCTCGGAACTGGAAGGAAAGATCCTTTGAGGAGTCAGAATTCCATCCAAAGAGAGCTGTCCACTGTTAGACTCAAACACTGGGATTCTTGGCGACTGTATCAAACATATCAAACAAGGAGTTTCTCACAGGCTCCACAACAAGGCGCAGGAATCTTGGTAAAGGTAGCTGCCAAATGATGTGACACATGTTTTGATGTTGGAATCTCACACGAGGTCCGTGAAAATGCCACGGAGAGGTTTGCGGTTTGCAGGCTGATTTCTTTTGGTTAAGAATCGACACTCTAGAGCCTTCAAGTATATTGTGACTAAAGGCTAAAGGCTAAAGCAATCGCACGTGTGGTTCCCTTGGACTGGTAGGATTCGGGCAGACTCCCCTCCCAAGTGTTGCGTACAGCCGGCCAGGCAACAGAAAAGAAGGTTATTGGTCCGTGGCAGCTTGCTTGAGCACATTTTTGGTTCATTTCAAGATTCTTGATTTATTTTCGTCGCCCACGATGTTCAAGAACCTTGGACCTAGTCGAACATTGGACGAACCAGTTATATATTCCAACCTGGAAAGAACATAGAATTTGAGAAGTCCCTTTTTTGCCATCTGGCTTTCGACGTATCTTATGCCTCTACCACGGAAAGTCCTTCAGACACAGACCGGCAACTTATATTTAAGAGACCTCTTGCGGGCCAGAAGCAGCGGTGCCTAAGGAACTATTTGCTGCTGTTCCAGAGGCCAGGAGTTCTAGTTACGGGTAGATCAAGACGTTTCCATGGCCAAGACACCCTTTCTAGCCTGCAGACACTCATACAGGGTCTCCTTTTTGTTGATTTCTCCAGGGCCACAACAACAAGTTAAAGTTAGCTTTCCTTGTTTCAACCGCATGAACTGACGAAAACAGAGGCAAACTATTGCACTGCATCATGTGTGATCGTGCTCACGCTTGGATTTCCTTTTCAAACCCGGAACACCGGGCCGCCTGAAAAAGGCGTGATGCTCCTTTGGAGCCAGAGCAAATACCAGAGCAGAGTCATCGGCGGCCGGAGCGCTCTCTGAGCGCAGATCGAATGGGCGATCAAAGATCGAGATGACATCTACAACGAGCAAAGGGCATCGCTACTAGGGGCTCCAGGCCGTACTACTAGGAACAAGAAGCTACTAGGGGCTCCTGGCATCACTACTAGGACCACCCCGTTTGCAGGGTTCTTTGGGGCGGTTGATCCACCTGCTTGCGGGTGGGCAAGGGTTCCCATACATGACAGCAGTGGCAGGAGCTCTGGCCACATGTCCGGGATGAAGCTGAAGAGCAATTTGGACTGAAGAGAGGGTAGTAGTGTCAGTGTAGTGGGATGTGGTTGCAGGCCTAGTCAAGAAACCGAAGAAGTTGCTATCTGGTTTGGATCCGATCGTGCCTGACTGATTCTTTCCGAGCAAAACGGCTTCTTAACCTGCTTGAGTCTTTGAGTGTGAATGAATCGCAGAAGGGGCTACACTGCGGAAGTAGCGTGTTGTGCAGCTAAGCACCTTGGCGGTATGGACAGAAAACGTCAGACGTATTCTGCTTGTGTTTTGGTGTTTCACCACCCAACATGAGTTGAACCCAATTCACACCCCAAAATGACCACCAACTGCGGAAGTGAAGCCATGCAACAGTCCAGCTGCTTCCAGGTGGTCCTTCATGGGAGACTCGTTTGGTTCGCGAAACTCGCACCAGGCGTTGTAATTTTAGTGTTAAAAAGGTGTGCTTGTGACATACCCAGAGGAGGGTAGATGGCACATATGGAGTCGATCTTGTCAGAAGATCCAACATTTAGTGTCCATACCAGATAGGCACATGCTTGTTTTCAATCGTCAGCTGTATTTGACCACATCGTTTGCCCTGCAGCTAGTCGACAAGCAAGCAGTGCCGCATGATGCAAATGAGGATTTAAAGCTTGCAGTCATGACCTGTTCGCACAATGTCACAAGGTGTCAGCGTTGGGCACAAGGTGGTTGATGGCCTCGCTAGACTTGTCCCAAGTGGTTTGGGTTCTTGCATTCGACCCCGATTCAGATTCACAGGAATTCATTTTTCAGCATGTGCCAAGAGTAGATAGGACTGCATGCATGGCCGGCATGGTCTGGCGCTTAGATCGCCGGCATGGTCATGCCCCGGACCCCTGGTGCAATCGCTCGCTCAGTGATTGCACCGAGTTTCAAGTCACGAAGATGTGACAGTCAATGCTCGTCGCAAAGACCCCCCCCTCATCATTGAGGTCTAGATTTCTACAGCATGATTAGAAAGCGTCCGCCAGTGAGGAGAGTGGGATGCAGAACAAGTATGACTTGTGCATTTGCTCACTTTCCCGTCAATGTATAAAGGATTGAATTCTTGAATATTTAATATATTTGTATAGAATGAGAAGATTCTGAATACTTGAAGGACCATTGCCTTCAATCCCCAGCCCCCCAGACTGAAGCTTGAAGGACAGCAGGGACAGGTTCTAAAGAGAATTCCTGTGCTGTGCGAGCGGGCCAGAGTCCAGTGAGGCACGGGGAATCAGCACTCTTGTAACTCACGCAGAGAGTCATAGAAGTGAAGCTTAAAGTTTCTTCTATCCAAGCATTTATATAACATGGAGCATGTATGAACCACAACTTGGACATGATGCTACACCAGAATCTCGAAGGCAAACGAGTCTACTGTTAGTTGAGGGCAATCCAGTTCAAGCAATTCACATTGGGTGAGAGGAGTTGCTTTGGGCCCTTTGGGCATTGACTGCCGACAGCATTTCATCCTCGTCACTTAGCACATGCTTTATTCATATTCTTTCTTAAACTGCTTCCTGCCTTCAGAAAATGTTAAAGGTACAGATCGCTTCCCGGATTTGATTGGGTAAACGCATCATGAAGACCGGCAAAAAGAGATGCTCCTGCGCATTTTGAGACAGAACGGCAGGCCTCAGAAACCTGGAGGAACTGCTCCATGCTCAGGAGCTTCATTGAAAGACCTGCTGTATTCAAGTCTACCCAAGTCTACCCGTGGACAAAAAACAGATACTCAGGCAGATATGTGTCAGATTAACTGTTCACTTGTTTT